AGACGGCGTGCGAGAGCCACGTGCCATCCGGGTCGGTGAAGCCGTCGTAGATGTTGCTAAAACCGTTGGGCTTGTACTGGAGGAGCTTCTCTTGCTTCTTCCAGCGAGGGTAGTCGTTGAGCGTCTGGAGCGCGACGACGTCCGCGACGAGCGTCTGGGTCTCGATCTGGTTGTCGATACGAACGTTGTGGTACTTGCTGTAGTCGACGATCATGGTCAAGTTGAGATCCGGGAACGTAGCCCGGAAGGCATCAGCGACGAAGTCCTGCTGCGTGGCGTGGTCGCCGCCGTGGTAGACCACGAGATTGCCGCCTTCCTTGCGCGCTTCTTCGTAGAGCTCGGTGAGGGACTTGGTCTCTTCTGCGACCGCCGAAAGCGACCCGTGGCCCGCTCGGAACGATGCGCTGGTTGTCGCGACGACGAGGGCGAGAACTGGGAAGACGTGGAAAAGCTTCATACTTGGGGTTTGGGAGAAAATCAAACAATGAGGTTCCGTGATGGTGTCGTCCTGAGGGCCGACAGATTCACAAAAGATCCGAGATCTGATTTGGATGACTCCGGTCGTTGTTGTGTCGACGTGGCAGTCCAACCCGACGGCACAACAGTCGTATGCTAAACGAAATAATTCCAGGTTGAAGTGCATATCTCAAACGACGACGACGCCACCGAGAAGATCGCGGAGACCAAAGACGGACTGATAAACGTACTCCACTCCCTCTGTGCGCTCCACTCCAACGCCAAATACCCGGTATGTGATAGACACCCACCGTTTGTGTGTGGCACGATTTCCCACGCATTCGTTTGGACGAGCTACACCAGCTAAAACCTACTGCTTCGCACATTCACATTGCGCAGGATGCACATCATTCAATGTCATACTAGGACAGATTCATGTCACCAAGAGTGTATGTTGGTCATGTGGATCGGAGCAATAATCTGACCCGTACCAAGGCCGTCAATGTTTCACCGACCTGCATATTTAAGACCAGAGAATTCGCGGAAGTTGTTTCCGGCGCCCTCGGCAATATTGACGTTAGTGGGTTGCACGGCAGAAGAGTGACGCGCTACTCGAGATGCAGACAATTGCACACGAATCTCTGATTTCAAACAAGTTCGCTCAGCAAGTATGCGAGTGTGCGAGACCTGCAGTTTCGCGATCGCGCCCAGCATCATCTCAACTTGGATAACAGCTCATTTCGCCGTGTATGGAAGCAGCCATTTTGACCACGGCTCGCGATGGTATGTGCACACCAATAAGCAGGACATCAACCATACACGTGCGATGCAATAACTGTTGAATGGAGCCATTTTTCACTTTTCATGCTCTTTCTCGCTTGGCCCGTGACATCGTTGTGGCGTCATTCCAATCAAAATATCGCGAGGTCAAACACTTTGCGTTTGGAAATGAAATCGACAAGGTTGGTAGAGGACGCTTTGGAGAGCACGTAATGCTAGGTCGCGTCGCCGTCCGAGGCGTATGTTGATAGCGAGACGCGATCCAAAGTTCCAACTAAGATCGTAGTGCCATCTGAGAGGCACCGCACCAGGACGCCGACGCCCAAAGTTGCACATCGATACAAGACGTTTTGAGGTGTAGAGCAGTCCACGCGGTGTCATCGCTACCGTCCTACAGCGCGCGGAATGCATGACAAGATAAGAAGGGCTCTTCACAGCGTGAAACAGCAAGTTGGTGCATTAGCGCACCGTGGTGCAATCCTCGGCACCTCCATGAATGCGACCTGCGACCACGAAATTTTCCGTCGACGAGGTGCCCCGGAGGAATACTACGGAGCAATCGATTGGGAATCGCCCGCTTGCACTCGCCAATACCATATGAGGCAGGCGCGTTTTTGGCGAGAGCCGCATTGCGCGTGGCTACAACCTCATCGGAGGCGTTTTCGATGTGTCTATCGCAGATGAAGGTCGCGTAGCTGGAGGGATGGAAGCTGTCGTCTAAGCTCAATGCATGGCCCTAACCCTAGACGGCAACGCGTCGCGACCACGTATCGCATTTCTCGAGGTGCGACGGGCCAGCCGCGCGCGCTGCTCGGTAATCTAGATGACGACCTTGGATGGCGATGGCTCAATAAGCCGTCGCGTGCGGATTATGTGCCTGTAAGCCTCAACGACACCAACATCGATTTCCAACCTGTAGGGATAGGGTTAAAAGTGCGAGACCACCAGAGCGTCATCGCTTTTCCGGTACTTTATAGCGGGTCTATAATAATCTACAAGCGGCACCAGCAGCCACGGAATCGAAATGACCAAGCTGCCATCCATGGCGAGTTCGCCGCGTTGGGTGCCCAGATTTGCGTGTAAAAACTCATGATTTGCATTCGACTACCTTTTTAGCACTTTGCCACAACCCTAGGATGTAAGAGATGCAAGCTTGAATGGTTCGTGGACCGAACCGACGCCAACAGCGTTTTCGCCGCGTTTGGTGACGAACTGACTCTAGAATCCTCGCCAGCAGAGGATCCATCTTGGTCAATTCTCGGATGGATCAAAACTTACCATCTTGTCGTTGTTGTGGGCTACGTTGTGTAGAGAAGTACCACACAACAACAAACACAAGTGCCACTCAACATCCAGTGTTTGCGGCACAATCTCGTATCTTTTTTTCCGTTTTTAATATGTTTATCGTGGCGCCGTGCCATCCAAACCGTCGCGAGGTCGTCGGCTTTGCATTTGGAAACGAAATGCAATAGATAGAGGACGCTGTGAAGGGCACGGAAAGCGAGGCTTCGTCGACGTACGAGGCGTACAGCGATAGCGAAACGCGATCCAAGATGCGCGCCAAACTAAGATCGTAGTGCCTTTTAAGATGCACAACGCACTCTAAACTACGATCGTAGTGCCATCTTAGAGGCAGGACGCCACGACGCCGACGCCGCTTGCCGACAACATCACGTTTGAAATGGAATCGCCTATAGTTAGAACAGTGATAGAAGACACTTTGGCGAGCAGAGCAGGCCGCGTTTCGTCACCGCTGCAGGCCTAAAACGCGCGCAATGCTCGACCACAGATACAAAGCGCTCTTTTAACGTTGAAATGCAAATGACCGTATTGGCGCGCCGTAGTCTTCGTCTTCTGCACTTGTAGCGACGATCTTCCCTTCCAGTGGATCAAGATTGCGATTCCTAGCACATTCACACAGCTAATATGTCCAGCGCCATCGCATCCTGTGGAGCGATTGGAACCAGAGGCTTGTAGCTCACAATGCTCGGCCCCAGGTGTAGAGGTCGAGGCGTTCCACTTAAATTTGTGCTCGAACGGACAGCGGGTTCAAATCGAGCTGCGCGCATGCAAATTCAATTGGCCGACCTCCTGCCTCTGCGCGGTGTACCCAATCGGAAGCACCGCCGTGGCGTAACCCGTCGGGAATGGCCAAGAGGACGTCACTTAGCCTCGAAGGAAATCCTCTCACAACAAACACCAAAACACGCACCATCGCCAAAGACGCCCGCCTCTCAACGCACCGTGTAACAAAAACAGAAAATGTACTAGTAGGACTCATTCCAACAACATGCATGCAAAATTACAGATCCAAAGCTTCATTTGCTCTTAGGGATGCTGAAATGCACATGGGGTGGTGCCACGCAGCGCGCACACTTACTTGCCCGGGTGGAGGCCGAGCTGGCCCGGCGACGCCCCCGAGGCTGGGGCGGTAATTCAGGCAATACGCCCTTTTTCGCCCCCTGAGCACTCCCGCGTATCGAAAACACAGCTAATATGTCCAGCGCCATCGCATCCTGTGGAGCGATTGGAATCAGAGGCTTGTAGCTCACAATGCTCTGGCTTTAGCACTCGCAGCGATGCGCAAATATCGCAGCGTTCTTATGCAACATACGAGCTTTGGTCTGCGTCGTCGAGGATCGATGATCGCCAACAAGGGATAAGATATCTCTTGTTGTCGCCAAGCTCGATTGGTGGTATCCGAAACGTGTTGAGCAGCGTCGCAGCCATCGAGCGCCTGCACCAGCACCTTGGCGTAGGTGCATACATGCGCGCAAGAGGCTTGCGGAGCTGTCGCATCCGTATTGGGTCGTGGTTGCTGGCGTCGATGCAGCGCTGGTCGCAGCCATCGGCGCCGTAGCGGTAGAAATGCCCTTGCTTTGATGTTGGGCGTCTACGTGCTGTGAGGTATATAGTCGACGCGCCGAAACAAACGCTGACAGCGACAACCTCGAGCGTTTGTGCGAGGAGTGCGGACGATGGCCTCGACCGCGTCGCGCTCGTGGCGTCGTTTCGGAGTATCCGGATAATGGTACCGGACATCAATTGCCAATCCGTGATTTGGCAACGAACCATGCCGTCGCCGGCCAGCAGTGGGCGCTACGCGCGCGCCGCGTCGCGTTCGGACCGCGCTCGTCATCTCGCGGCGCAGAACCACATGACGCACATCTCGAGCGCCTCACGCTTGACGTCCTGCGGCTTGCACATGGCAGCTAGCACCGAGATCGTTGGCGGCAGCGACTCTCGCCCGCAGTGAACCTCGCGCCGGGCGGCGCTATAGATGCGATATGCGCTCAAGCTACCAGCCATTGCATCTTCTCTCGGCGGTCACACACAGTGGCCGCGCGCCCATGGTCCACGTCATGCTACACCGGGCCTCGTTATCCAAGGCGTCCGCGCAGCGCTGGCTCGCGTTTGGCACAAGGTACCACACATCTTTGACTCTACATGCGTCTCACAGAATGGCTAGATTCCGTCTTTGCCCGAGACACACGAGGTCGAGATTTTTGCGCTCTTTCCGCGCTTCTCGTGGTCTCGTACCACCAAGCGATCGCGGGTGCCGGCCAACCTCTCGCCGACGTTGCTTGGAGCAGCTCTGCGCCGGGCCGCCCTTGTCGTTCGATCGTCGGTGACCTCGGCTTGCTCTCGACGCTCGTACAGGCTCGCCAAGCGGGCCGAAAGGCAATACACAAAGCGCCATGTGACGGCGATTTGGCGAGGACGCCAATGCGATCTTGGTTGCGTCCATGCCGACACGCCCGACGATTTTTGTCGCTCGCTTTGAAAATGGCGCCGAGAACGAGCCTTCGGACGCGCCCGCTGCGGCGTTGACCAACGGCATGCAGCAGTTTCCCGACACGATTGCGTCGACGCTCATGGCCAAGTGCGATGCGTTTGGCGCACCGGTCATGCACCGCCACAACGACATGGAGGCTGACAGAGGCATGCTGGCGCACCTCGGCGCGTGCATCGAGCACTACGCCAAGACAGAGATCCTCTCGCGCGACCACGTCATGAGCTTTTCTCTCGGTTTGCATCGCCAACATGCAAAACCCGAACAGCAAGACGACAGACGCGATGCAAGCGCTGCAGTCGATGAAGTTTGTGCACTTGATCGACGCGCCATTGCTTGCGCTTGTGATGTCCATGCTTCTGCGCGGCTTGACAGACCGCATCTCGGAGACGAAGAAGGCTGCACTTATTTTCGACAACATGTGCTCG